CCAGGTCTCCCTCCCTCCGAGCCCCTCTCCAGCCCATCTGTGTTTTTGGAAAACAGAGCCGGGGCCCGCGGCCCTGCCAGCACGCGCCGTTCCTGCTGGGGCTCAAAGTGCACCCTTCTGTCTTCAAAGTCCACCTCACTACAGAGCTTGGGCCCGGTCCAGCCGGTCACCCTGGGGCCACCGCCTGCCCCGCCCACACGTGGTGGCCCGCCGCTGCCCGGTGCTGAGGGAACTGGGGGAACCCCAGATCTCTCGGGGTCATGGGGTCCTCGGTGTGGGTCCCTTGCACGTGGACGGCGAGGGCGGGCCTGGAGGAGAGCCTGGGGGCGGGGCCGGGTGGACGGAGGTGCTTGGACCCGCCGTTCCCGGTGACTGCCTGGCCTTCATGGTGCCCCTGGGGTCTTGGCCTCCAAGGTCCACGAAAGCTCCACGGGGTGGGGGGTGGAAGGAAGGCGTCCTCCCTGGCCCTGCCCGCTGTGGTCTCCCTGGGTGGGCTTCCTGACCCAGGCAGGGGGCAGGGCTGGCTTCAAACAAGAGGGGGCACTGGGTGTCCCCACCCCACCCTGGCCTCACAGAGCTCGGGACAGAGGAGGCAGGAGTCAGCTGGTGGGGAGGCTTCCTGGAAGAAGTGTCCACACCCCTGCTGGCACTGAGGCCTTGAGGTTGGGTCCACACTGGGGGGCTACCTGGCGCCACGGGTGCAGACCTGGCCCAGTGCAGCCCAGGCCACCCTTGTCAGAGACACAGCCGTGATGGTACAGAGCCGGCACCCGGACCCTTCCCCGGGGCCGGCTTGGCAGAAATGAAGGGGCAGCCATGAGCCGAGCTCTACAACGGGCTGTGTCCTGGGGTCCCGAGAGGCGATGGGCCCTGGGCATTCTCAGGCTCGATGAGCATGTGCCCGGGCCAGTGCAGGGCTGAAGGGTGGGCATGGGCAGGATGGGCAGGCTGGCGCTCGTGACTGTGTGACCTTGGGAAAGTTACTTGACGTCTCTGGGCCTCCGTTTCTAATCTGTCAAGAGGAAAGCAAAGGAGACCCAGCCTTGGCGGCTGGAAGGCTGCAACAGTGATGACCCCGCCCTCGCAGCCCCTTTCTCCCCAGGACAAGCCGCCATCCCTGTGCAATCTCTGGTCTCTTCCTCAACAGCCGGGGCAGGGAGGGGAAAGACAGCCACAGGGTGGGAGCTGCCTGGCTCTGCCCTCTGTCTGGGCATGAGTGCACTCCAGCCGCTCCTGGGCCCACCCAGACATCAGAGCCCATGGCCCATCAGGCCACGGGGGGCAGCCACGTGGTGTGTCCGCGACACAAGGCCGCAGGGCTCAGTGTCCTGAAGCCAGCACACTCGAGCGGCCCTGCTGGGTGTGGTGGTGGGGAGCTGTGGAGGCAGGGGTCAGCAAGACCCCGTGACCTGGCCGCCCTCTTCCACCTCTGGCCTCGGGGTCCCGCCAGCCGCTTTCTCTCTGGGCCTCGGTCTCACAGGGGCAGCGCAGTGGGGCCGGGTCCGTCCGGGCACGTGAGGCAGGCGGTGCCGACGTGTCTTCCGTGGGAAGCAGCCATCCCCAGGCTCCCAGGTGTGGCTGGTGGACTCGAGGGTGGCGCCTGGCGGGGAGGGCCAGCCCCCCGGGGCAAGCCCAGGCCTGGGGGCACGGAGACCTCAGCGTGTGCCACGGGCTGGCCAGCACGAGGCCGGAGGACTCGGAGTGCCCGCGAAGCCCCAGTGCAATCCCGGACCTGAAGCCTCTCGCTGGGGAGGGGGCTTTGCAACCCTTCGAAGCCCCCAGCCCAGCAGCCAAGGAAGCCCAGGGCAGGAGAGACCCCCTTCCCGGACGCCTGAAGTCTGCATGCTGAAAGCCTCCCTCCTTCCTCTCCGAAAATTCCAGAGTCCACAGAGCCGCGGACATCCAGGCTGCATCTCCCTGGGGGTCCCAGAAAAGGCTTCAGCACCCGGGCTGGGCGAGCGTGAAAGGATCGTTTATTGGCATTTGCTCTGTGTCGGGGGACGGGGGCCACCCACACCCACCCAGGAGGGCAGAGGCTCAGGGTGCGCTTGGGAGGCTGTGGCGGCGCTGGGGTGTGATCTGGGGGCCTCTGGGCCCAGCTGTGTGCGCTGCAGAGACGGCACCTCTCCCCCCCCAGCCCCTCAGGCCGTGGCCGCGTGGCCTCTGAGGTGCAGCCTCACCCCGCCCGGCTGCCTCCAGGAGAGGCCGGCTGACAGGCCACGTGGCACCCCAACGGAGCAGGGCTCTACGGACGCTGGCCGGCGTGCCCAGGATGGGGCTGCGGGTTAATTCTGCAGCCACCCCGGATCACCGAGGTCGAACGAAGCAGCCCTGCGGGTATACCGGCGGCGATATCGACTTGCAGACAACTGTGCCTTCGGAAGCCGGGGCGGCCACTTCCCCAAGGGGCCACACGGTGTCAGGCTAGGGCCAGATTTGGACCTGGGCCGGCTCCGGCAGAGCCGGCGGGGCTGGGAACCCGCGGGGAATAATCCAGCCCGGCCTGCGCCCACCCCAGGGACCCTGCGCCAACAGGGGGTCCCAGGGTTCTGCCCCGGAGTCGCCCAGAGAGATCTGGTTTTGTTCTGATACTGAAATAAAAGACGGAGTGAAACAGACCCTGCCGGAAAGCGTTCGGACTTAAGCCTGTGGCTGCGGGCACGGCCGTGCCACCACCCCGGGGCGGGGGCGTCACCCCGGGAGCTTCCGGGGCGCCCGCCCAGCTCCGCAACGCCAGGAAGGGGCAGCCGAGCGCCTCGGAGCCAAGCGCAAAGGCGCGGGACCCCTGGCACCCCCACCCACGGCAGCGGGCCTCCCCACAGTAGGGGGAGGGTCCCGCGTCGCCGCCAGCGCCTCCACCCCCGGGGTGCCCCCCGTGCCCGCTCGGAAGGCCTGGGCGCTGTGCCTCTGTAATTCTAAAATCGGCCACCAGGTGGCAGCATGAGGCCGCTTAACAAGCCACGTGGAGGCGGCCGGGCGCTGGGGCTTTCTGGGGGGTGCCCAACTCTCTCCCGCGCAAAGGGGACCGTCCACCAGGCCCCCGGGGTGGGCTGGTCCTCTCGCTGCCCTGAAGGGCAGTGAAGCGGGGAGGCGTTTGCTGGGTGGTGTCCCACACCCCTGTACCCGGTTGTGTCCCAGCCCCGGTTCCTCTCACCCATGCCCCCTGTGGGAAAACCCACGGAATGCAACACTGGTGGGCGGTCACAGCTCTCACGCCCCAATGTGCCTCTAGTCCTGCCTCGGGGTCACCAGGCTCGAGACCCCCAGTGCCTGCAGCCCTGCCTCAAGGGCACAACAGCCCCTCCTACGCTGACCCCTTCTCTCCAGCTCTCACCCTTTTGCTTAAACACCCCGGGTTCCAGGATCCTGAAGGCATAAAATGTCTCCGGGTTGTCGCCAGCCGCTGCCGGACAGGGCCAGGGCTGGAAATCCAGTCTAGGCAGAGCCGGGATTCAAGACACCGTGGGGGGGAGCTCTGCCTCTGATCTGTGGGGGCCTCCCTTTCAGCCCCGTGGTTGCTGGGGACACTGCCTCGGTGGGCCTCCACGGAGCCACGTCATCGGGCTCGCTGTGCACCCTTTGCCCTCTCTAGCTCCGCCTGCAGCTTGAAAAGTCCCAGTGTCCCCGGAGGGCTGTGGCAGTCGCTCCTTGCAGCAGACTCGTGAGGAAGCTTGTGCCACGGAGTTCCCAACCCAGAGCCAGAGCCGACTTGATGGCGGGGGGGGGCGTGTGGTTCACCCCTCGGGCAGTGGGCTGCATCATGCCTCCGTGTGCTCTGGGCCTGACTTGTGGCTGTCAGCATCCCTCCACCCAGCACCCTCCTCAGAGCATGGTCTGGCTCTGAGCCATCCACATCCTGTCTGAGACCCCCCCAAGAAACACATACCAGATTTGAGACCCCCTCAGGTCTAATGCTCTTCTCTGCTGAAAGCCCCCTTGCCCCCCACTAGATGCCCTGTCCCTCGCACTAAAGAGAGGAGCTCAGGTGAGGGCTCAGAAGGCAACAGGAGAGGGGAGCGTTGCACCCCACCACAGGCTGGGAAGCTGGGTGATGCAAACATGCAGAGGGTGGGCGGCTTGGGTGATTGGGTGCAGGGAAGGTGGGGACCGATGGCTCTCTGGGAAGTACACGCCTTGGTCTCTTCCTGAGTCTTCCTGAGTCTTTGCACCTCCCACAGGGATCGGGAGGAGGCTCCAAACTCCCAGTGAGACTTAGCCCCATCAGGTGGGTTTTCTCTCTGGATGCCCCCTGGCTGCTGTCCCATCTCAGTCTGTGCCTTAATTGGAAAGGCAGTGAGCCTGGCCGGTCATCCCACCCATGAGTTTGCTGCCCCCTGTCTGCTGCCTGCTTAGTTCCTAGCAGCACACACAGAGTGTAGGGGGTCAGGTCAGACGAGGCTGGTGAAGGGGGAGCCCCCAGCCAGATCCTCTGCCCGTAGAAGGTGGAAGGACACAGCTGCTTTATGTCCAGTGGCACTGGGAACACCTGGAAAACCATTTTTTCTGCTCACTCTTGAACCCCGCTTTCCCCCCTTACTCCCCACCCCCATTTTACCAGTGCCACGCCCACCCACATTCCAGGGTATCAAGTGACTGCCAAGTGTCAATCTAGCAAAGCCACACCCAGTCCCCACCCCCTCCACACGGTCCCCACCTCCCAGCTAGCAAGGAGTGCTTCCGGCGGATGCCCACACCCACAGACGCCCTTCTGCCGGGTCAGGGGCAGGCCCAACTGCCACCCCCTAATGCACCGTGCCCTGGTGTGGGAAAGTGTCACCGCCGGCCGCCCTGGCGGCCCCAGCGTGAACAAGTTGGCCCAGAGCTCCTCCAATTTGGAGGGGCCCAGGGAGAGGCGTGGAGGGGACGAGGAGGTGAGGGGCAAAACTGTGACCTCAGTTGGCATCTGAGCAGGTGCCGTGCCCGGCGGTGGTGAGGCTGTCCCGTTCCTAGGGGCCCCACTAACATGCACACTCTAAAAGTGCCCGTGGTCATCTCTCCAGCCTCTGCCTCGTCCCCCTCCTCATCCTCCTCCACGTCGGCCCGGCTGGAGGGTCTGGGCACCACTGCCAGAGCACCCCCTGCTTTGGCGACGACTGCTAATATTGGCTCGGCCAGCAGATCATCGTCCGGGCGGTTTCAGCAGGGAGCCCGGGGCACCAGTGACTCCCCGGTCCTCTTTATCCACCGTCCGGGAGCAGCAGGGACCTCGCAGCGACTAGAGTACAGGTAACCGGGCTCCCCGCCCTCATGCCGTGCCCTCTGCGTGTGGGAAAAGAGCTGCACTTGGAGTGCTCGGGGGCGGGTGGGCCGGGGGCTGGTGCCGGATCCTGCTTTCTGAAGGGGTGGGGATGATCTCTGTGACTGGAGGATCCAGGTTGCTTAACAAGAGGAACCTCAACTTTGGAGGGGATGGGGGATAGTTTCCCACAGGGCTGCACAAAGTCAGAGGCTCTTGCAAGGAAAGAGGTTTTCCTTGAGGAATCCACCAGCAACCCCGGGTGGGGTGGAGGGAGGGGGGTGATGGGAGCAGCTCTTCCCAGGAGCCCAGCTGTTTTTGCGAATGCAAAGGGAAAGGCTCTTCCGTGTGAAAAGTGTCCTCTTATTGCTCCCTCCCACCCCTTCCCAGAAACAAACAGGAGACTGTGCAGAGGGCCCAGGGGCCCGAGAGTGGGTGCAGGTTTTTAATATAGACAGACCATTTTAAAAGCAAAGCTTCCCTCCCACCTGCACTTCCCAACCACACACAAGAAACTGGGAAGGAGAGTGAGAAAAAACATGGAGGAAACTTGGCCCTCGCCGCCCCAGGAGGCTTTTGGAAAGCACCGTCTCCCTCTTTGTGATGGCGGGCCTGGTTCTCCCTGCCACCCTCCTGGCCTCCCTGCCCACCAGCAGGAGTGCTGGCGCCAGGGAAGCTTCCTGGGAGAATGGTCATCCATGCAGGAAGCTCTCTCTTGCACCCAGGGGAGGGGGCTCATTTTTCCTGAGAAGCCAGCTGCCCCTCTGCCTGCCAGCCTTCTCTGGGCAGAGCCGCGTGTCCTCTGGTTCTGCTCAGGCCCTCCCTCCTCCACCCAAGATGGGGCGTTTGTGAAGTGTAGGGGAGACATTCCTCTCCTGTGCCGTGACCCTTTGAGGCAAACCATTTGTGTGCAGCCCCCCACCCCGTGGCCCAGACAGAAGTCCACCCCCATCAGGAAGGGGCAGCCCGCCCAGCAGAAGGGTCTCCTGCCTCTCCGTCAGCTCTGTGAAGCCCTTTCTAGGTGAACTTCTCGCCACTTCTTTCTTTGCACTTTGCAAAAGAGTGAGCGTGCAGTGAAGGGGGGGCCGGGTGCCCAAGCCCCAGCGAGGCGACCCACGGGTGGCTGGTGCAAAGGAGGGGGGACTTGGGCTCTGGCTGGAGGAGGAGGGGGGACTTCATTTTTTAAAAAGGTCATCAGACACACTTTCTGCTCTCCCCCAGGGGCCGGAGAGTCACCGCGGAGCTCGTGAGGGAGGAGGCAG